AAAACAAGTTAATGTTCACACGAATTATGGTGTATATATGTGCCCACATTCAGGATCTTACGACTATATCAAGCTTTGAATGAACGAAGGTTAAGGGGGTTTTCTATTGTATTGTATTCTATTGCATTCTAAATGCACATCTCCTATATCCGCCCCGGGTTTGTCCCTGTTTTGTTGTTCTTGTCGTTGTTTCTTTTCTTCTTTTTTTTTGCGTGTTTTTGATTTGTTTTGTTTTGGTTTTGTTTTCATGCCAACCTTTCAAATATCACATTTCTTTTGTTTTTCTTTTTCAAAAATTGAGAGTATTTAAAAAGCAGCATAATATAACTCTTATTTTATCCGTAGCTTATAGAGGCCTGGACAATTCTATTATTCTCCGTGAGTATGGCAACAACAATTATTTAGACGATCTGTCAAGTTTTTTGAGTCCTGTTCTTCAAGATTCAAGTAGAAGTCGTTGGGTAAGATGTTGGAGAGCTTCTAGTGATGGATGGGATGTGTATTATACATTCCACCCCCAGTGTGACAACAAAGGACCAACAGTTACCATTGTTCGCTTTGGTAGTTACATCTTTGGTGGCTATTCTGATATTTCATGGGACAGTAAGTAAAGATCATTCAATAATTTGAGAAAACGATATACCTGAGTCTCTGGAGGAACACTTGAGCATCAGAGCTCAAGCCTTATTATATCTAAAGTTTGGTAAAATTTCCTCAATAACAGTAAATAAATTAACAATAAATGCACGCATCTTTAATATTCGTAGTTCATTCAAACTAAAGCAGCTTTGTGTTAAGTCTTTGTTGAATTCATGCACATGCAATCTTGGTCGCAATTATCATGTAGTCTAGTGTTATATATGAAACAAAACGAAATACATGCATGGAAGAGCTCATTGTTGATATCATGTCAAACTGTTTAGTTATTCTTTTCCGAATTAGTGCCAATTACCTAATAAGCAGAAATATGTATGTTTTTGTGCAATTTTCAAAGCTCTCAGATTCATGACTTCCGCGACTTCCCAGAGCGGCCACGAGGGTGAGCACACTAGAAGCTTCGTGTCGAATTTGAATCATTTTCCTTTTTTTTCCTTTTCCCTGAAACAATAAGCAGTCTTTTTGTATTCTTGCCCCACATCTCGCGTGTATTTTTTCACTTCGATAAGAGTCATAAAAATCGACATCAAATTGTGCATAAATGTCATGCATGCACATTGCCTTGTTCTAAGGCTTTACTCTACTGGATGTTTTTTTTTTTTTATCTTGTCATTTTATTGTTTCATTGATTTTCTTGCAGGCTCAAGTTCCTATGCGTACTCCAGCAGACCTTTCCTGTTCACATTGTACAACACATATGGCTATCATCCTATCAAATTTCCACTTGTGCAGTATCCCGAATATTCTATATATAGAGGTAGTAGTTATAACCCTACATTCGGTGGTGGACATGACATATACATGCCTAACCATGCATCAAGTCATAGTAATAATCATTTTTATGTGTACTCATATGACCCCCCGCCTGGCTGCAGCTACAGTAATTACTGCTCGTTCTACACAGGCAACGGTCACTTTACACCGAGTGACATCGAGGTTTTCTATGAAACCACCAACTAGTAATGCGAAAACAAATGGCTAAAAAGGTTGAAGATATTACCTTATCTTATAAACTGATCGTCCGGAAGGCTAAGTTGCAGCTTAAATGTATTTTCAATAGAATGAAAATGAAATATCGAGTTTTTGGGAAAAAATAGGCGTGCTCTAGGCGTGTATTTAGAAAACCTATCAATGAAAATAGTAAGAGGCACATTTTATAGAGTATAATGTATCACCCGAGTACTTCTCTGATAAAAAAATAATAATTTATTTTTTTTTTAATTAATGAATAGCCATTTACGTAGGATTATTAGTCTGCCAATTTGTATTTAGCGTTAATTGCATGGTTAATTGAGTTTTTGCTAATAATAAATATTGTATTTTTTCTTGTTTGATGATGTCGCATGTAGTGGTAACGAACTAAAACTACAAGACTGTACTTATACTTTTCAACATGTTTGTGCTCACCGTGAAGACCTTGGCACCATATGTGTGCCATGACCGAGGAGGATCACCAATGAACACTTTATGCTTAAACTAAAAAAAATTGATTTAAAATATATATTATGCTCTTCTTTATACTAAAGCGTAATTTGTGTACCTTTTTCAATACTTCATTTTCAGTATTCTCTAAGAAAATTTAGTGTATCTTGAATTAATAATACAGGCTAAAGAAAGTTTAACCTCAATTAGCAAAATATTCTC